ACTCTTGGAGGAGATAACAGGAAAGCCTTTCTCTGACTACTCCTATTGTGGTCAATATGTAGTTGGTGCTCTAGGTTTGATAATGTTTAGGTTTACCCTTTCTGTCATGTAGCATTTGCAGAGGATTCTTGGAGCTCCCTCCTTCCCTATGCTGAGCATCTGTCACCTACTTGCTCACATGTAATGCACTTTCAGGGTGGACATTTGTTCTTTCTCTTTGGCCCCTGATTCCTTGATGCAGCTTGGAGATGCACTGCACAGGTGCCTGACTCACACCTGAGAAACTCAAAGAGGAGATGCTGCTGAAACAGCCTATGGCCGCAGAATCAGGACTGCTAGTGGGGAAAGTGTGTCCCCATTGAGGAGCCAAATGTCCATGCACCAAACTCTCTGAATGGTCTCATTGTCGCCCCTCACCAGGCTTGAGGCGAGGGGCAGACACCGTGGGTTAGTGGGATTCACGGCACAGCTTTCTCCAAATAAATTCTCTTCCTCTTATTTTCAAATATTATTTTTTTATGTCACCAGTATAATGAGAGCTTAAGAGGACTAGTTTCCAGAAACAACTTTGCAAATTTTGCACGTGGAAGTTATTTCCTAAGAGGTTTTATTGTATCTTCTAAGTGCTTTAGGGTTTGTGAAGGATCTCAGGAAATGCGTAGATAACAAACAAATATGAATTCAGCTGTGTGATGTGGGCAAGTGTACAGATGATGGCGAGTTGAAAGGCTCCACTGTTTCCTGCCCTAAACATTGGGTTTTCTCAGTATATGACGTAGAGCATAACTGGAGGCTGTGGGCTTGCTTCCTGTACAGACCTCACTGCTAAAGTGGAATCCATTACTTTCCTGGCTTTGTTCTTTAGCACAGGGAAGGAATGTTTGGGAAAGCAGCATAGATTGCATTGTGAATTAGATCTCAATTTGTAAAAGAGATAAAGAGAAGAGAGGTGGGGGTTAGAGCCCGAAAATATAGATAATTATCTTTAAAAAAATTTGCTACCAAGTACACCAAAAAATGGTATAGTATTGGAGGGAGTGTGAGTCTGCAGGATTATTTTATGTTTTGTTGCTATCCTGTCGCATTTCCATGGTAATTTCAGGATGACTTTATCAATTCCTGCAAAAAAATCCAGCTGGACTTCGGTAGGAATTGCCTGGAGTTGGTAGAATAACTTGGAAAATATTGGCATCTTAGCAATATGAAATCTTCTCATTCAAAAGGATGGTATGTTTTTCCATTTATTTCAGCCCTCTTTAACTTACTTTAGCAATATTTTGCATTTTGGGGTGCATCTGTCTTGCCTTTTTCTTATTAATTTATTCTTAAGCATTATTTCCTTTAATCTTGTTACAATAAAATTGTTTTATCTTTTGATTGCTCATTGTTAGCATATAAAACCGTAAACATTTTTGCATATTGATCTTTTATTTTGCAACCATGCTGAACTTGTTAGCCTTAATTGTTTCTTGTGAATGCCTTTGAATTTTCTATGCATGTGATGATGTCATTTTAAATAGGGAGAGTTTTAATTCTTTGTTTTAAATCTGGGCAACTTCTGTTTTTCTTACTTAATTGTTCTGGGTAGAAGCCAGAGTACAATGTGGAATGTAAATGTTGAATGTTGAAAGCAGACACCCTGGTCTTGTTACAGAAATTAGGGGAAAGCTTTCTATGGTTCACTATTACATATGAGGTTAGTTACATTTTTTTTTTTTTTTTTTTTGAGACGGAGTTTTGCTCTTGTTACCCAGGCTGGAGTGCAATGGTGCGATCTCTGCTTACCGCAAACTCCGCCTCC